GGTGATGCCGATGGCCTTAAGGGCCTGGCTGTGTCGGAAAAGCATACCACGGACACGGGGGGTGACGCCGATGGTGATGTTGTATGTTGGGGCCGCCTGGTTGGGTCGTGGCTTCTCAGTGCGTACTTCGACGCTGAGGAAGGAGGCCTGGAGGCTTCCTCCACTGGCATCGGAGACGACTTGGGTGATGGCTTCCGCTGCTTGCTTAGCGGTCGCGAGAGCCGGGACGCCAAACGCGATCAGGGAGCCGGAATCGTAGTAGGCAGATTTGCCGGTCAAGTTCCTACGCTGTTTAGACCCGGTGCGGTCGGTCGCAAACGTAGGGGCCCCCGCGAGCTGAGACTGCACAGTTTCGATGATGAACTGCGCGGCCCGAACTTCGAACTGCTTCATTTCGGTCTCCACCTTTTTGGTAATTATTTCCGGAATATTCTTTTCCAGCAAGTCAACACGAGCAGCCAGCGCATCTGTCTTGCTATGCAAGGAGTCGAAGGACGCCTTGGTCTGTGTAGCATGGGTCTGAAGCAGCTTGTAAATCTCATCTAAAGATGGTTCTTTCTGAGTGGATCGCGTCATGGAGTCGCCTGCTGCCGCCTCCTCAAGGGCAGCGGCCGAAGGCGTAGGGTACTCCTTGCCGGACCTCAGAACCCGCTTAGACGGGCTTTGTGGGCTAATGCCAGCTGTTCTACAGATTCTGGATCGCTGGCAAAGCCAATGCGAGGGGCTTAGCTGTGATGTTGCCAGGGTGGTGTGGTGTGGTAGGCGTGAACTATTGTAAACTATTGTAAACATGATGCAGCGCCGTACAGCACCATACGGGCCGTACAGCACCATACGGGCCGTACAGCATCGTACCAGTTCTTCTAGATCCACACACCTTACATACCCCCCGTACGACAAGGTCAGCAGCTCACCGTGCCGGCGTTGTTGGCTGCCGCGAACACCGACCCGTCGGGAGAGAAGCGTACGGCAGACACACCCGCCGGCCGGGGGCCCCCGAACCGCCCCGTGTCGCCGTTGCGTACGACCGTCGTACATGCGGCCCAGGCGGTGACCACCGGAGCTACCACGACACACGGCTCTTCCCCCCCCTTCCACTGCTGCGGCTGCTGCTGCTGCTCCTGTTGTTGTTGCTGTTGCTGCTGCTGTAGCTGTGTTGACGACGATGGGGACGGTGATGCGGACACCGACGGCGGTAGCGAGGAGGGGGGTTCTGCTGCCGGAGGTAATTCACGGCAGAGGTCGAGGCGACAGCGCGCGCGGGCGGCGGCTGCAGCCGCGCGCGTGGAGGCCGTGAGGGGCGTCTCGAAGGCTAGCTGAGTCACCAGGTCCGGATCTCGCTCCAGGGTGGGGTGGTCCCTCTGAATCATGCGGATCTGAGAAAACAGCAAACCGGGCCCCCAAAACCCCCAAACCCCCCGGGGCCCCGGAACCCCCCGACCGGGTGGCGCGGGGAGGAGGAAGGGGGGAAGGGGGGGAACAGGACACTCAGTGCGGCTGTATAGCGAGACAGGAATCAACCAGTCGATCGACACGGTTACATGTGCCAGTGAACACACAGGTGCTTATTAATCAGTGGCTCGCCCTCTCCGCCCTCCTCGACATCCTCAACCTTGCCTCCACGCCCCTCACCACGCCCCTCACACCTCCACGCCCCTCACACCTCCACGCCCCTCACCACGCCCCTCACACCTCCACGCCCCTCACACCTCCACGCCCCTCACACCTCCACGCCCCTCACCACGTCCCTCGCCACGGGCGACTCCTGCAGCCCTGGCAGGGTGGTCAGGTCCCGCAGGACCTCCGCACCCAGGCCACTGGTGTATACCTGGGGGGGGGGGGAACGGGGGGGGGGAGGTGGCGGTGGAGGTCCCAGTGGGCGGATGAAGGCAATTGGTGGAGGTGGAGAACGGGGTGGAGGTGGAGACACTGAATCCGACTGTGGCTACCTGGGCCGTAAGAGGAGGCACTGCCCTCCCTGCGCAATACCTCCCCCTCCATTACAAGAGCACGCTCGTGCTGGCATGTGCGCGCACCTGCCGCCAAAAGTTGAAGTCGAGAAGCAGCTCCTCAAGCTGCTGTGCGCGTGCTGTAAAATGTGCCGTACTATGCCCTATCGGCGTCGACGCCAGCAGCGATAACGGCGCTGGAGGCACTGCGGGGACGTCGCCGCGCTCGCGGCGTGAAGCGCCGCCGCCACCAGCGGCACCTCCAGCCGCCACCGCCGCATGCGCCAGGTGAAGTATCGCGTATCGCAGGCTGTACGACTGTCCGTACATACGCAAGAGCGGAAACGGATGCAAGCAAAAGCAGTAAACAGGAAAAGATTCGCAGTTTGAGCGTGCGATGATGTTTTACGTGATCCCAGCGCGCAGGACAAATGTACGGCATCCTTTGAGGAACATACGCCGATAACCCGCAGGTAGCAGTCAGCCCACCGTACTAACCACCGTACCAACCACCATCATACCAACTACCGAACCAACCACCGTGCCGTACCAACCCACCTGCGGCCTCTTAGATTTCCGAAGGTCCGTCGTGATCCAGTCAGCCAACCGGCAGTGACCCCGCCGGGGGTCCAGAGCCAAGCCGGCGGCGCCAAGCACCGCCGCCGCAGCATCACCTCCTTTACCGTCGCCGCCGTCGTACAGCCCAACAATGGCACCTACGACATCCTCGCCGCCGTCGCCAGCGGCGCTCCCGCCATTGTCCTGTAATGCCTGCTGGTGGCCGCCGTCAGCGTATTCTCCCTGGTGGCTTAGTCGCCGGGACGGCGGCGGCGGCGCTGATGGTGGTGATGTCCCCGTGTCTCGCAACCAGTCCAGTAATGACCTGGGGGCGGGAGGGTGCCCCCGCACATCGGCCCCCATGGAAGAGAGGAGGGGACACACACCGCGGGCGGCCGGGGGGGGAAAAGGGGGGGAGGGGGACAAGGGGAGGCATGTGTATTGAGACGCTCATAGGACTCCTCTCGTACTAAGGGCCCCCGTACGCTCCCCAAGAACAAAGCAACTACTGTTGCTACCTTGCCTTGCCTAGGGTTGCTTACCATTGCCGCTGCTGCTGCTGCCGAACTGCTACAGCGGCTATCGCAGCCGACCCCGTCCCCAGGCCCCCACCCCACCGCCCGCCGCGTAATCCCCCCACAGCGGCGGCCGTTGCGGGTCCCCAGCTCCCCCCAGCTCCCCCCAGCTCCCCCCAGCTCCCCCCAGCTCCCCCCAGCTCCCCCCAGCTCCCCACCCAACACGCCCCACCCCTCTTCACATCTGTCCCCGACTCCTCCCCCTCGTCTCTCCACGTCTCCCCCCCCTCACACCTGTGGATAACCTGCAGACGGTAGTCACCCTCCGACACACGAAACACCACCCCCCAGCCAGGAAGGTAAGGCAAGTACGGCATCAGGCCCAGCTGGGAGATGCAATGTAGGGACGGCGGCTCGGCGGACGCCAGCAGCAGCTCCAGGAGGGACTCCACGCCGCTACGCCCAGCTGCCGTACTATTGAGGTACGACAGTCGGTCAGTGAAGAGGGCGGCGTAGGCTGCGGGCAGCGATGCCTGCGGATCATGGCCGGCACCGTCACCGTCACCGGCAGCGGCAGCGGTGGCACCAATAGGGTTCTTGGGCTTCGTGTTGGCAGAGGGCGACGGGGGGAGTAGACGCCTGAGGGTTTCGAGAACCCAGTTCTTGGCGCGTCTCCGGGACAAGGTGGGGCTGGAAGCGGTGGCTTTGACGGCTGGCAGCGGCAGCGGCGGCGGCGTGGTATCGTACGGCAGTGCATTCGCGACCCACGGGTCGAATTTGAATACCAGACTGCGTAGGATGTGGCTGGGTTGAGGTCTCAGAGTAACGATGAGTCTCACTCGGCGGGGCAGCAGCGGGAAGAGGTCGCGGAGGGCCAGCAAGATTCTGTTTGGCGAGGGGCCCGGGGGATGCGATGAAGGGCGGAAAGGGGGGTGTGAGGGGGGCCGAAGAAGGGGTTTGCAGGAAAGGAAGAGGAGAGGGTGGGGGTGCGACGAAGTACACAGACGTCTTTTATTATGGATTCGTTCTCCCCTTCGGGGAACTAAACTGAGTTAAGAGACGATTGGCGAAAAGTAGGAATGGATCTCCGTCTAGGAGAGGGTGGGAGGAACTGTTCGGAGTACGCGCCGCTGGCGCCTTTGAAGTGCCGCTCAATCAGGTTGCGAATGCCGGGTAGGCCCGGAGGAGGAGGGGGGAGAGGGACGGGTCTCTCCCCACCTCCCTTCCCATAACCCCCCACCCCCCACCCTGAGCGGCCGCCGCCCGGGAGAGTGTGTGCGGTCGTTGGCGGCGATATGACTGTATGGATCTTCATTAGATGGGCCTGGGTTGTTGTTGCTGCTACAGCTGCTGCGGCTACAGCTCCTGCTACTGCTGCTGCGGCTACCCTCACCGCACCAGATCCCGCCATACCGCACCTGTTGTCGTACGGCCGTCCTGCCCCGCGCCCGTTCCGGCCCTCGGCTTCATCAACCCCATCCACCAGCAGAACCACCTCACGAGGCGCCGCCGCCTCCGCCGCCGCCCGCTGCCGCCGCAGCCACTCCGGCGGGGGTGGCCCGCCGTCGTCGTCGTCGCCATCTTGCGGCTGCGGCATCATCTCCCGCAGCGGGTTCAGCAGCAACGTGTTGAACGCGGTGTCCAGGCGGGAAAGAGCCGAAAGAGCCTCCAGGGAAAGCCCTGTACGATAGTACGACAGGACGGCAACAGCGACAGGGAAGAAGGGGCAAAGTGTGCAGGAGAAAGGGAACGACAAGAGCGGGGAGGGGAGAGGGGAGGGGACAGGGGAAGGGGATTAAATGGCGGTTGCATCGCACGAGGACGTTGCACGAGTAAAACCCACACGCAAAGGCGGCCAGACGGCCGGCCGCAAGTCCTTCCAGCGCCCCGGAAGTCCACTGTCAGCCTGCAACCCCTCTCCCCACTCCCCCACTCATCCACCCATCCACCCATCACCCAGTGGGCCTACTCACCTAGGTAGCGTTTCTGCAGGAATGTGGCGAACGACCCGCGGGTCTGACACGCCAACTGAAACGCCAGACTGCGGACCAGCACCAGCGGACTCAAGCTGGCAGCGTCACCGGCGCGACAGAAATGTACGGCAACTGGCCGATCGTGTTGGCCGTGCCGCCGCTCCGCATTCAGGTCATCGCTTGTTGCCGCTGCGGATGCGAATGCTGACGGCGGCTGCGACACCAACAGCGGTGCTGCTACTGCTGCCTCCTCCGCCGCTTGCTCCGCTGCTGTTGAATCGGTGCCAGTGGGCGCTGCGGGTTCCGCGTCGGCGGTAGCGGTCAGGGCAGCGGCCGTCCCGTGGGTCTTTCCGCAGCCTGCAGGACCCACAATCGCCAGTGCCCTGTGTCGTACAGTTGGACCCCGTGAGGATATCAGGGGTGTTCCGTGGGACTTGGTGCGGAGAGTGCAAGGGGTGCCGCAAGGGGTCGGGTTGGGTTGGGCAGGTGCACCCCCACCCCCAAGCAGGATGATGATGGTGATGTGTTTTTATGAGCACAAATATCAGCGTGTGTAAAAGAGGAATTCCGCAATATGAACGCGACCGTGGGAAATGTAGGAAAAACACTGAACGAAATCCAGCAGCGGCGTCGTACTGATTCGTACCTGCACTCATCGTACTGGCCTCTGGCCGTACCTGTACGATGTATCTTCAGGTCGCAGATCCAGCCAACGCCTTATGACTGTTTGGGGCCAGTCCGGGCTGCAAGCGGCGGCAGCACTTCCCCCGGGGCCCCCAGCCCCCATGCGGCGGTAACCGCCGTCCGCAATAACAGACGCAGCGTTAGCAGCAATAGCAGTAGCAGTAGCAGTAGCTGTAGCAGTAGCAGCGTCATACGGAGAAGCTGTAATGTCCGCTATGGCCACCGCGGTGGTGTCATGGGGCTCCAAGAGGAAGATCAGCTTTAGTTGGGCGTTGACCAGGTCCAGCTCGTCGCCGATGGCAGCCAGGATTCGATCACGATCGGATGGTACGGTGGCCTGCGCGTTCCGTACATCGATGCCCTGCATGGGACAGCGTCCCGTTAGCAAGTAAATATTATATGTGCATGTATGCATGTATGTATGCATGTATGTATGCATGTATGTACGTAAGAGCCGAATAGTTACTCAGCGCACCGGGACTCTCGCCGCTGCTCCGTAGCTTCCACACCACACAGAAACTTGCACGACAAACTGTTTGAGATTGTCGTACATGTACGGATGTACAAACGCCGTACCCTATAAACGCCATGTGCCGAGGTCTCAGAGCCCCAGAAGGGACGCATTCAGCCGTCGGATTACCCGTCGGGAGAAGCGGCAGTGAGTTGAACCCCCCGTGGAAGAAATGTATGGAGACCTGTCCCTGAAGTCCATAACCCCCACCCCCACCCCCACCCCCACCAGCATCAGCACATGCGCTCGCAAGGCTTTCAAAGGCTTTAAACCCACCACTGATATACCAGGGCCGTACACCGCCCGTCATTGCCGTACCTGGTACAGCTCCCCCAGTCGCCGCCTTGTGGCCGGGTCCGCCAGGAAGACCAGCTGACGGAGGCCCCGCACCTGCACATGTACATGTACAGTGGTTGGAGAACACACGTGTGCGTGTGCGTGTCTCTTCATATGTGCGTGTGCGCGTGTGAGTTGCACCTCGGTTGCGTAACCCGTTACCCAGCTAGAGAGATGTAACGAGCGCCCATACGCGGGCCTGCAGAGTACCCGCACGAGCCTCCTGAGAGCCACAAGCATAAATATTAGGGGCATTAGGACAACGCAAAAGGTCCAACATCCAACAGCAATATAAACATAAACGACACTCTATCACTACGTCACTCACACATCATCACCGCACGTAAGCCCCCGGCCAGGGGCCCCAGGGAGGTGGTCACAGCCCCAAGATGCGCCTGGGCAATGCCGCGCTTCGCACCGCTAGCCAGGCAGCCAGGCAGCCAGGCAGCCAGGCAGGCAAGCAAGGGCAAGGACCCCGCGAGGAAGCGGAAGGAGCCTCCCAGGCGCCCGAGCGACAGCTCCGGGGCCGTAAACCCTTCCCTTCCCAAGTGGCGGCCGAGGGCCAACCGTGAGGAGTATGTCTTATGTCCGAAAAATAATTCCATTTAAAACAACCAATGTTTTTGGCCCGTGAGCCATGTCCTCGTCCAATCAGATAGGGCCCCATCAACCAACAAACAACCGACCAGCCATATACGCACCTACCCAATCCCGATCCGCTCCCCTAAAACCCTAAAAACCCCTCCCCCTCCCACCTTTAAGGTTGTCCACCACTCGAAGAGGCACCAGATGCGGCTGAAGGGGGTGCAGCGGGAGTCCAAACACACCAGCGTGCCACGGGCTAGTCGTACAGCCGTCTGCACGGCAAAACACAACACACACACAACATAGGCGCATGTAGCTCTGTTTTCTTTGTAAGCTCATGCTCAGCACCGCGCGCAAGATAACAATAGGACAGCAACAGGAATGGAGAGTAGGATTGTGCACTACAGATGAAAGAAATGTGCTGGTTGAACCCGGCCGCCGGGTGGCCCTACTGGTAGAGTCCGAGTTGTCTGTATGTCTGTATATGAGTCGGTCAGGCGGTTATTCCCTCGTGCTAGTGCTAGGACCAGACGGGACAGCAATCAGCTCGTCCGGGGCGCTAAGGGGGCCCGGGCGAGGCAGCGGGTGGTGTCAGGCGAGGTGGTGCAAACACGGCCGGACGGGTTTCGACAAAGACAAGCGGGGGACGGGCCCCAGGGCGGTAACCCGCCTTCCGAGTCCCCCGAGTCCCCCTTCCCACATCCCCCTGGGGCTCCCCTCGACCGCCCCAAACACACACCTGACATCTCGACCCTTCGTTCCTCGCGAATAAACCCTTCCATACCTCCCCCCCCACACACGCACACACACACCCTTGGTTACCACCGCGCTTTTCTCTTTCCTCTTGACAGGAAAGGGGAAACACGGGGCTGCACGTCCTCGGTCGAGCGGGAGGGGATAGTGGTCCCTCACGCCCCTCTCTCCGCACAAGGAGGAGAGTGCTTCGGCGGTCGTTCCCGTTGGGGTACGGTTAGGTGCCCCTGGAGAGCGTCAGCCCCCCGGGATCATTATGTAACAAAGACACACCCACACAACCGCACACACTCTCTCTCACACACCCACACCCACTCTCTCTCACACAACCGCACACATAAAGACCCCCTCAGCTACTTGTAATCTTCACACGCCCCCACCCACCCACACGCCCCTACCTCCAGGTCCTGCAGGTCCCGGGTTTGCTGTCGACCTGGGTGTTGGTTGATCGCCAGCACGTCCACCCAACAGAACACCTGACGGGTGCGTGTGTGTGTGTGTATGGGGGGGAGGGTCAGCAGCGCCGCACCAACCCGCCCATACGCAGGAGGGAATGGCGTGGTACGGCGGAGGTGGGGGATTACGTACAGGGGTGGTGGGGCCCCGCGAAGTCCGTACCTGGGCAGGGGGCCCCCCCAGGGTCCCGAGAGCCGCCGCTGCAGTGGTTCCTGGGCAATCCATATCACCCCTCCCACCTTCCTGCCTGCTACTCGGTCTCCACACAGCAACAGCGGCATCCTCATCCTCCTCCCACCCTCCTCATCCTCATCCTCATCCTCATCCTCATCCTCGTCATCCTCAAACCAAATTGAAAGATTCTGATTCTGTAATTCCGCTTCCTAGCCCCGCAATCCCCAACCCCACCCCCCCCACGCTCGCCCACACGCTTGGGCCCTCCCCCTTCCCCCTTCCCCCTCTTGTGCTTGGGACGTGGCGGCAGTTAGCCGTTTGCTTCTCCCCACGTGCACGCATCGCTCCTCACGTTCTCCCCCCCCCCCGCTGCCACACACATCCCCCTCCTGCCTGCTCGGGATCTGCGGCATGCAGCTGGTGCTCCAGCAGCGCCACCAGCTCGGTGAAGGCCATGGACCAGCAGTAGCTCACGAAAAAGGTCAACAGCGAGGAACACTGAGAAGGCAGCGTGTCTACATAGCGGCATCTGGTGGGATGGGGGTGGGGGTGGGGGTGGGGATTGGACAATAGTTTATACATAGAGTGCATTAATGATTTAGCAAACCATGAACAGCCTTAGGACATGTGCAAAGGCAACAGCTGCAAACAATGCCTCTCTGACCGCTCTCCTCCCTTGATCTTTTTCCATCCGTTTTAATTTTTACGTTTTCAAGGTGAGAAGTGTTTCTCCTTGAATTGGAATTCCCCCTTGTACGCGGCAAAGTTTGAAGATCCTTTAACATTCGTTTCCCCCAACCAAGGCCTCGTCCACTCATGGTAAGATCACCTCTGACGTGTCGCGGACACCAAAAGGCGGCGCCAACGTGGCGGCTAGCGTCGCACCTGGTGGCTGCTGTCGCGGGCAGTACCACCCGGTTCAGGATGTCGTACGTTGTCCAGCCGGGCTGTACGACGTCAGCTGCGAAGCGGCGCAGGAAGGCGAGCGACACGGCGCAGTGCCACACCTCCCGTACGGCAGCGCCGCCGGCGTTGTCTGTGCCGGGGCTACTGCCGCCGCGTGGGCCACCGACGTCGCGGGTGAGGCTGGTCACAGCATCATCACCGGCGGCGGCTGCAGCTGCAGCTGCGGCCCTTTCGCGTGCCTTGCAACTGCCTCCGCCGCTACCGTCGCCGCTGCTGACGGAGCCCGCAGCGGCGGCTCCCGATGGTTGACGGCTGGCGGGCACCTGGGTGTAGGCGAGCGGGGACTGAGAGGCAGTACGGCTGGCGGAACCGCCGGCAGCCGGTGCCGCTGCAGATGGAACTCGAATCGACAGTACGGCAGATCCGTCCTGCAGCAGCGGCGATGACGGTGGCGGTTCTGCAATGGTTGAAGACGGCAGCGCTTTGACTCTTGGTTCCGAAGCGACATGCTTGGGATTGGCAGGATCGGCGGCGGCGGCGGCGGCGGCGGTGTCGGCAGCGGCAGGCTCGGCACTGCTGGCAACAGCCACAGGGCCGCCGCCGCTCTGCATATGGGGTGGAGGGAAAGAGGGTTAGGGAAGAACCGGTGTGGGCGTTTAAATTCCCCTGGGTTCCCCACATCTGAGGGCCTGGGATGGCTGGAGATGTGATGATGGGCAGCTCCATTATCGTGCAAGCTGCTTTCCGGGGACTGGATAGCATGGCTCTCAGGCAGAGGGGAGAGGTGCGTGCGTGATGTTGGTGGAATGAGGGTAACTGTATGTGCAGTAGTATCCCTATAGATCACTCCGATAGTGCCCATGATCCCTGGGGTGCCTTGCCGTGCATCTGACCAGGTCGGTAGTTATAGTTCGTTGGGATTGCAGTCCGCAGCCTGCAACTGGTCCAACGGCTAGGATACAGCCTGAGTATCCACACACAGGTAAGTTTATACATCATCAAATATTGCTTTTAAGTTTTTAGAGCCTCAGGGACATGTCGGCCAGCTAGCGCCGAAGGAGCATGGCGTTGCAAGCTGCACGGTTCCCAACTCCGATGACCGGCGAACAAAACAAATGGAGGGTTTTAGGAATACACCTCACCTTGGATGCCCCACAGCCCAGTTTTTAATATATAAACCTCGACAGTGCCGGGCGTTTGGACGGGCACGCACGAACTTCGGAATCCACAGTCAGCAAGCCCATATACCATGCGTTATTTTTGTACAGGGCCAGTTATGACTGGGTAAGCAGTAAAGCAGTTCCGACCTATAGTTTGGCAGGCCTTGTTCGCCAACCAAGTCGTTGCTCGTCCAACGCGTCGAAAGGCAGAATTACTCGGAGCTTCCGAGACTGCTCACAAATTCCAGCAAATGGCTTGGTACGAAGATATCATCATTGGAGCCCTTGGATCAGGCGTCAACGCGCCAACCTGGGTGCTGCTTAATGTTGTGATATTCTTTGCAATTCTTTCGTTGGTTGGGCTCTTGGTTCATAGCATACAACGCAATCCAGACCTGACACCACACGTTATTGTTCTCTTGGTTCTTGCATTCGGGCTGTGGGCTTCCATCAACTGGTTGATCTCCAACGTGGGGTTGACCAGCGCTACAGATCAACAAAAGCAGCTATTTGTTGATCATAAGGAAAAGCCGTCGGAAGAAGCGCCACAGGAGGAAGCTGAGCCACAGGGTGACGGCTCCGAACATGACAGCAAGAAGGAAAACTAACTCTATGGCTAGCAAGCAATCCCTTTAAGCACCGCAACCTTTGCTGTTACCTCCGACATTTCTAGGAAGGCTCACCACGAGGCAGCGCACCTGGCCAGCGGAAACCCTGTCCCGGACCTAGAAGCTGATGGCCCACATGACAGTGCCGGGCCTGGCTGCGATCTGCCCCATCACAAGCGGGGATAAACAGTATTTCTGTAAAACTAGGGGCGCCACCGTTAGCCTGACGACAGGTGCAGCCTCGATCGTCAGGCTGTGCTGTCGTGCACGTGCTGTCAGCTCCCCAACTGGGACCCTGCAGACACCCCGCCATTGCTGCTGCCGTGTACCGGCGGCAGCGACAGCGATTCCGTCCCACAGCAAAGGCCATTGCGACCCGTCAGGTTCCTGCGGCACCATGACCAATTACCGCCTGCGCCTTCAAAACAGGGCCAGCAGCTGGGGCCGCTGTAATGGATCGGCTTGCATACGCAGCAGCAGCATTGGTATGGGTAGCAATGGCGTCGGTCGAGAAGGTAGCACGGCCACTCTGCGGCTGGTGGAGCTTCCAGGTGAGCGGGTTGTGACCGGGGCTGCGTCTTGCGACGTACATGCCTAGCATGAGAGAGGCTGAGGACCCCCCCTATTAGGGGAACATGGGGGGCTCTGTTTAGGGGCGTGGGCCATGGTGAAGCCTTATGGCCCCTTAATATGGGGGACGCTGCACATGAGTCATATGACTAGCTGCAAGGATCATCGAGCAGCGATTTGGGAGGGCGTGGGATTTCCAAAAGCTAGTTCCAGGCCTGTAGCTGTAGTTTTTGAGCACTAATTCATGGCCAGCGGTTGGTGCAGGAGCATGGGGGACGTTAGCGGGGTGCTGCAGCCGGCGACGTGGGCCGGTGTGGTGCCGGGTGACAAGGTATTACGGGTTATTACGGCCGCCAGAACTGTCGGGACAACCACATGGGGAGCGTAACATGGTACATGCGGCTGACCATGCAAGTGGCGGTTGTGCTCACGGACCACTGCCCTGCTCAACAGCAGCCATGTGGTAGCTGCCCGTAGGAAGGTCGTTCTGCCTCACCGTCTGTCGTCGCCGCCGCAGGCAAGGGCCGCGGCGTGGTGGCGACACGCAAGCTCTATCCAGGAGAGCTGCTGCTGGTGTGCAGGTGGGTCGGTTTCTGGCCGGCGATCGGCTGGGACTTTGATAAACTGTAGGAAAGTGGGAGACTCGCGCATCATGTTTCGGGACCTATGGAACTTGGCGGGTGTTACGTCCTTTCCTTCTTTTCCGGCTTGCGTGTTTTGCCGCATCCTCAGGCCGCTGGCGCTCGTCCAAGGCCCATCCCAAGCATCGGCGCTGGTGCAGCAGCAGCAGCAGCAGCTGCGACGACAGCAGCAGCAACAGCCACGGCGGCAGTCCCAAGTAGACGCACTGAACTCCGGCTCACGGACAGCCTCCGCCGTGGCCAATGGTGTGCCGTCTGGGGACGCTAGGGCGGGGGCCCGGCAGCCGGAGCTCGCAGGGCCTACTGCTATGACACACGGTGCAGCTACGGCGGCAGCGGTGGTGGGAGGCACCGCGAGTCACTGCAGTGAGGCGGCCCTGGTTTCGGAGCTGAAGCGGCTGGAGTGGGGTCCACGTCAGGTGCGTGCGCGCGTGCTTTAAAAGGGATTCCGCTTCCTGCATGCATGCGTGTCAATTTAGTCCAGTGATCTGAGCAGCAATGTGCGATTACGCCTGGGTTACATACCTGAGCTGTAATAAGAGGACAAGCAACGGTGCGATGATGATGAACCCAACCAAGGGAATAGAGTAACTGGGAAATTAGTTCCATCTCGGGGTTCCCCTAGGGATGTGGCGGTAGTTGTTGGCCCCGGACTTCACGGGGCGTGCGCTGTGGCCAGCCTTCCGTCTCCGTTTTGAGTCATTCTCATCTGGCAGAGTTAGATTGGCAGCGTTTATCTGCCCCGAGGATTCAGCTCTTGTCTCAATGGTCCAGTGAATTGTTTAAACTGTGACTTCATTCGTTACCCTCCACCACCACCATCACCGCTGTAGGCCCAGATCCTCGCGTTCCTCTACCGAGGTGCACGGCAGTCCACAGTCCCCGTCGCCCATCCCGGATCAAGGTTGGCCCATCCAGCGACGGAAACAGATGATGTCGGAGGTAACAGCAGCTGGGGTGGCGGCGGCTTGGAACTGGACTTGTCCGACCTCACCGATCCATGGGCAGGTGATGCCGCCGCGGTGCCGCCGCCGCAACTTGGGCCGGCCGCGGTTGCGGGCGCCGCGGCGACCCACAAGTCGGGACTGTCAGTCGAGGAGCTGGCGGCGGTGGTGCGGCTGAACGCCACGGGTCTACCCAGCGATGATGTACTGCTGGCACAGCTGTATGGCAGACCGAACATGTCGTTCATCGGGTTATGGCCCGCGCATGCGATGTTCAACCACTCGTGTGCGCCCAACGCAGGTGCGAGCTGACCGACCGAAGCCAAACCAACCCAGGCAAATCCTAATCGGCCTCCATCCAAAGCCACATCGCTTTTTCTATAGCTACAGGCTCGCAGAGCAATATAGCCGCACCAGCTCTCCCGCTCTCCCCCCCCTCGCATGGTCGCCATTTATCATCGCTTCCACGCCGCTCACTCCCCCCAAGTCCTCCCAAGTCCCTGTCCTATTCGTGTCCTACTGATGATTCACTCCCTCCCTCCCATTTTACCAGCCGCGACGAACCGCTAGCTCAACAGCACAGCGCACTTCCAATCATCGTTTTAGCTGAACTCAAATTGAGAAGCATCCGCTGATTCATCACCTTCCTCATCCCGCCATCCCTGTGCCACACCCGTCCCCCAGTTGCGGTTGTAGCGGGCCGGGAGTTGCACATTCGCTGCAGTGGCCCGGTGTCAGCCGGCGAGGAGGTGTGCATCACGTACTCCGGGGCCCTGGGACTGGGGCCGTTGCCGCTGAGGAGGGCGCTCCTGGAAAAGAACCACCGCTTCAGGCAGGTGTCGTAGGATTTCCTTAACCGTGGCGCGTCATAGGAGAGGCCTGGGCGCTACGGCAAGCTGTGCCACATTCCAAGACTCTGCATACATTTCCCCGCCTTGCATGTCGTCAAATGCTGCGTTTTATTTTACCCAGGCACCTCACCGTGGCATCTCATCGTGGCGATTCTCCAGCCTCCACCTACCCATGGAACGTCCCACTCACCCTTTATCCTTCTTGCATATAACTCCCACCCACCCTGGACTTCTCTCCGCCTTCAACCCGCCTATACACCTTCCGCACTGACGCCGCTGTCGTCCGCAACTGCGTTGCTGGCCGCCATAGGTGCACATGTCCTCGCTGTACAGCGGAGGAGCGGGTACCCCGGGAGCTGGCGCAGCTGTGGGTGAGTGTTTACCTCTGTGTGCTCTGACGCGATAATAAACATCTTATGGTTGCTGTTACGGAGGGGAAGGAAGGAAGGAAGGCTCCAGCGAATGGGCAATTAGGGAACAGGCCCGAAACATGGCCGTAGGTATGTAGGTACGCGGCGCATGTTAACCCAGTATCAAATGCCGACTTTTCCTTACCGCCCCTGGCTGCTTCTCTGGCTTCTACTGCGCCCTCGTCAATGCTGTTGTTGCTGCTGGTGCTGCCGGTGGTCGAATGATGGGTGGCCAATGGCCTGGTGGACTAGAGCGACATAGTTATGCTGGCATCACAGCAGCTGCAGCCGCAGCTGCTGGCTGCCGCAGCAACGCTGCGAGGCAGCGGCAGCGCGAACAGCAACAGCAGCAATCCTGCTTATGGCAGCGGCGGCGGTGGCGGCAGCGGGGCTTTCGGCAGCAGCGGTAGTGGCCCCCCGGCTTCTGCGGCCGCCGCCGCGCTCCCGGCCCTGCTGAATGTGCGTGGGCAGATAGCCAAGTGTTGTGCACTGTTCGAGGAGACCCTCGGCCAGCTGGCGCCATCAGTGCAGGTGCGCGGGATGACCAGGCGTGCCATGTACCTATTGTTCCTGAATGTGCAAATACAGCACATATGTTGCGATTTGGGTCGGCTATAGCAACGTCTAGCACTGTCCTGGCTGCCCACCTGCTAGCATGCTAGCTTTGGAGCTATTGTCCTGCAAGGCGCTTCGTTTATCCCTAACGGCTACGACTCCATTCCCTTCACACAGGAGGCCCTATGGGTCCAATCCAGCATGTACCCTCTTTACGAGACCCGGGCACGCTGCGCGCAGCTCCTCGCGAATGCGGCGGCAGCTGCCGCGGTTTCTACGCCGGCTGCACCTTGTACGCCGCCGCCACGCGGTGCTGCTAGGGCATCCGCTCCCGTGGCGCTGCGCCATGAGCAGGTAAACCAGCAGCCGGAAGCGCAGGTTCAGGGACTGCAGCTGCATCAGGAGACGGCGACGACGCGGCAGCAGCAGCAGGGGCAGCAGCAGCAAGGGCAGCTCGAGGACCTGTTGGATCTGGAGCGCCGGCTTTCAGAGGAGTACCTTGATGCTCTATCCGCGTGCCTGAGGCTGCAGGGGGTGGCCAATGCGGGCAGCGACATGCACGTGCAGCTCGCGGCAAGGTGGGCGGGTGAAGAGAGAAGATTGGGATCGTAATTGCAGTGAAACAATAACCTGTGTGCCGTAAGCGGGGCCTCAAATTGGCCTGGGGTACGCTCGTCAGCGCTAGGGCATGGAGAAGGGCCATCTGCAGCTAGAGCGGGCTCCACATCACACAGCCGTCATGGACGGGAGGTGGGGGCCCCCGATTAGTACTGGCCGAGCACCTGGCAGATGGCTATTTGCCGAGGCCCATGCGTGGCGTTGGGATATAACTGCCGGCAAACAAGGACTTTGGCAAAGGAAGGGAATTGCGAGGTGCACGTATACCGTTCAACGGCGCATATCTACTACATATGTACTACAAATCCACTTGATTCGTCATTTGTCTGTCCGGCAGGTACGACACCGCATGTGCCGCGCATCTCGCCCGCCATCCCGGGTCACGAGCTCAGGAGTTGGCTGCGGAGGCGCGGACGCGGCTGGAGCGGGCGCTGGGTACTAGATATGGCGTTTCGGCGGATGAATTCCAAGAAGCTCCCGCTGGGAGTGGGGAGACGCGGACAGTTAGTCCTGCTGCTGCTGCTTCAATTGCAGTTAAAATGTCAACGCAGGAGCAGCTGCGACCGGTGCTCCTAAACGAGTTGCTTGTGGTGCTTCGCAAGTTGCAAGAACAGAAGCAACAGCAAAACTAGCTGCAGCCACAACCATCGGGACGGGGAGGAAGCGGGCTTAAGGAGGGAAAAGCCCCTGCCGTGCGAATATGGTTCTGCGTTTTGGAGAAATTGAGTGATTTGCACTGCGGGATATCCTAACGGGGTCAGGAAGGCGTCCGAGTGCAGCTTACTAATGGCTCTGCGTAGCGACTCGATTTTGAGTGCAATCAATCCAAAACAATTGCTCTCGGGGCTGAAACCTCGTTGCGCAGGGCTATATATTATATACAATAACGTGAGCTGCGAGAGGGGTTGGGGGTCGAGCCGAAAACTTCCTCCCTCGTTCGGACGAGGCAATGACGGGACGAGGAGCAGGGGTCCGTATGTAGCATTGGATAGTTCGAAAGCCTAGGGGCTCATACAATGCGGCGGTTTTTCCCACGTGCATGTGCGGTCATGTGTCATGTGTTACGGGGCGCTGCGTGGATGTATCACTCGCTTGCTTCGGCCGTGTGCCGGCTACAGCTCGCCGGTTATTCCGAAAAACAATTGAATAGGACAACTGGACGAATAAAATAATCGTAATTAAAGGGTACGCTCCATCTGTTCCCAACAGCCACGCCCACAACCGCAGCACGATAACTTCTCTCCCTGAACCACTACGGACGCTCATCACTGACATCAACATCCAGGACTGTGCTTCGCTCTTTAGCTTACATCATCTGCTTTCTTCGCTGAGTCGGTGCCCGCTCGCGTAATGGCCGCTTGGACATCTGGCAGCTAATAGGGTAACATGTTGTCGTTCCTTCTCGATACACGCCCGCTCTGTCTTTCGCGCAGTGTACCTAAATCACGTCACGTTCCTCTACGCTCACCTATCCGGGTCACAACCCGTACTCCTCCTTACTCATCCCCACCCACTCTCTCACCCACCCATTCACCCGCTTACTCCTCTACCACGTCAGTACCAAGTCGAGGCTGGGTCAGGCCATCGACCGGCGACCGGCCCAGACGAGCCCCTCTCACAGCCCCGGCGGCGCTATCGCGCGTGTCGGATCTGACCCTCCCCCCGATCCAGATCCCGCTAACGTCCCGTCTTTGCCCGGGATTGCGACCACATGGCTCTGGCTGTCCTGCACCCGGTACTGGCTGAACATCGCCACCTGCGATAAACAGGTGGCGAAGGGGCGAAGCAGAGCGGGGAAAGGAGGGGTGGCCGTGATGGGGAAGGATAGTTTGGCAAGGGGAATTAGCGGTGTTAATGCTTGGTGGGAGGTCCTTTGTGTGCCCCGCTTGTCGTTGCATGCCAGAGCAGGTGACCCCGGCCGACCGGCTTGGGGGAGGCACCCCAGCTCCTCTCGCGCCACCACTCCCACTTGCTGCCCTCCCTGTCGCCCCGGCTTGCCAGCAAAGTCTCCTTCCCTTCTGGGCCGGCAGATTGATCGATCGCCCAGGCCATACGACGGCGGACAGCCAAACCATCAACTCCCCATCAAACCAAAAAGAGCCGACACAAGCCGGCCAGGCGTTCTCCCTTTTTACCCTCTCCCCGCCTTACCCGCTCCAAAATTGGAGGCGCCAGCGCGGCCGTGAACTCTCGGTGCAGGTGGTGCAAGTAGAGGACGTCATCGGCAGCGTACCGCACCTGCAGCACGGGTTTACAGCAATAATAAAAGATATCACGGGGAAGATCACAGTAACGCACAATACCACAGCGACCCAGGTCACGAGGTACATTGTACACACAAACTCTGAGTTGCGGTTCGCTCGCCTGGGCCCAATCTAACACGAGCATGCTGTGCTATGGGTTGCACGCTGTGAGGGTGCTTAGGTTGACCGGTTCATGTCCAATGAATCCGCCCTGGGGGTTCAATCCTTCACACCACTTGCAATGGGACATACAATTGAACCCCAACATCCGCAGCCCCACCCACCCACAGCCACTGCCCGCAGCCTACCTACCGTTGAACATGGCACTATCTCAAATCATGAAATCCTAAGCCCTGGAAATCCCAACCCTCCCCCCTTCCCCATCGGCATTTGTTTTCCTTCACTGTGCAGAGACTCTCCCCCTTTCCCCAAAGATCCCCTTTGCCCTCACTCTCACCTGCTCTTGCGACAAGGGTCGTCGGTCCCAGTACTGCGCGAAGCACAGCATTACCAGTGTTGGGTAAATCAGTCATGTGCAAGAACACCTAAAACGCAGAGCTCTTTCCGCAGTTCTGACGCCATGCTACAGCGCCCAAAGTGCTACTGTTGTTTTGCAAATGTTGTAGCATGATGGCATGAGATACATGGTTCCAGGTTCGATTCCGACCGTCAGGAGGGATTGTTAGAGCCGACGATGCGTGTAGGTGACACCGCCGTTGGTCCGGCAGACTCCACTGTTTTGGTTGTGGTGGGTGCTGAAAAAGAGAAAAATCACTGACTTTGCAGAAGTCGGCAAACATGGGTGATGAGATGAAAAGGATGGGGATGCTCCGAAATACCTGAGAAGGCTGGGCCGCGGCTAAAGCTTTATCCCCCTATTTCAACACAACAGCTGCAGCTCTGTGCTCACGGCCACAGACCCACAAGGCGACAAAGCTTCCATCTAATGCGACTTGCACCAGGATCGGTCAAGCAGGAACGCAAGAGGCAGGAAATGCTACATGACCATATAAAAAACAGAGGCAGCTTCAACTCATTTAGCCTGGCAGGCAAGTCGCACCGGTCGGAAAAAGGGTTATTCCTCCTACAAACCCGCCAGAGAAAAGAACCCGCCGTACACCACCACCTCTCACCCAGCCATGCCACGTGGCCACGTGGCACCAACCCCACATCCGCACTTATCACCCACCCCGCGCCCACCCTTAGGTCCCGGTTGAATGTCTCATGCAGCAGCCTCTTGTCCACTGCTGTAGACTGCCACCGCTCCCGTAGCTCCGGAGCCAGGTAGCACTCGAGGGCCCGGGTGAGGCCGATCACGTAGCCCACACGGCGAACCACGGGTCCGTACCGCCGGTAGGCCACCTGCCCAAAAATGCAACCATCAACATGTGGGAAGCGGCGAGAAGCAGGGAAGCGGGGAAAGGACCAGATATGCCGTGCACATGCATTCAAACACGCATACACATGCACATGCGTACGCTGTGTTTCGACTCAGGGGATGTCCCATCAGGACGCAAACACATACACACACGCACACCCCGTCATACGTGCACACGCGTAGACACTCACGTATGATCTACTCGCGCTGTGTTTGGACAGGACGTGGATGGACGTCCCGCCCAACACAGGACCTCCTTCCTCACCATTACCATGGCCACATGTCCACCTGGCCATCAGCGACCCTGCCGCCTTCTTCTTTGCCCACGTACCACAATCTTCTCTTGTTATTCCCTTCACCTGCTTGTTCCGCTCCCCTCATACCCTCATACTCTCGTATCCTTTCCCCCCACCTCGGACAGCTGCAAGTCCACCACTCCCCGCAGACTGACACCGTGTTGGTGATACAGAGCTTCAGCGTCGCAGCGCACATCGTAAAACAGCTTAGTCACCGAGGGACACTCCAACACCTCCTTAAGGCATCGAAGACCGCAGGAGGATGACGAAGGGGAGGAGGTGGTGCTGCGGCTGCGGCCACGGCCACCGCCGCTGCTGCTGCCGTTGCCTGACGGCGTTAGCCCCGGCTTGTGCGTGAATGCGGCGGTGGACAGGGAGGTGACGTCCAGCAGGAATACGGGTCCGGGTACGTCCGGCGGTGTGTCGGGTGGGGGAGCGGGCGCAACTGATAGGAGGCAAAGCTTGCCGGTGCGGCCCAGATTCATGCCTGCGGCGGCAGAGGTGGCAAAAGGGCCTGGGACCTGGGGCTGTGTAAAGTTCCGGGGTCGTCGAAAGTGATGTTGGTTACACGTCAACGCATTTCCCGTTCCAAACAAGGGGGTGTTTTGGCTTGGACCGTGTCAGTCATAGCCTACGATCAGGAGGCTGGTCAGCGCTAGATCTGGGCTTGCGGGCTATAGGTGCTGAGTTGTCTTACCTTCGGCGTCAAGGGCTAACTGCTTGGCTGTGGACAGCGACTTGAGCATGTGTTCCAACGACTCGATGTTGTCGACGATCTGAGCTATGCCGTAAGCCTGAAGCAACAACAAGATCGCCGTTGGCGTTCCCAAAGCGGGGCGCACATCAGGTCTCATCCAAGGGAACTTGTTGAACTGGGACGTCTCGTTTGTCCCACCATTCCAGCCTTGTCGGGTGAACTCAGTATCTGTAGTTTTGTCGACAACATGTTTGAAGCGAGCTTTTCCAGGTGGTGTCGTATGGATGCCATGGTCGCGATAAGCAAACGTAGAGGTCTTAACAGAAGTCTCCACATGGAACGCAAATGGGGTTTTTGGTAGGCGAGTCAGATGGCTCCGATGCTCATCGCTTCGACACTTCATAAGCATCCTTGGTGCTGGTCGTTGCCTGGGTACGGCAAGCTCAACGGAATACCGGAAACATATGATTCGTCCGGATTCTGGAGGTCCGCACTACAGTATCCCTTATCCATCAAAGAATATTAGATCTTGCGTTTTCTATTGACAAAATTAGTCGCTGGTCCTCCAGACATCTGCGCTTTCTCAAGGATCATTTCCGGAATAGGGATAGGTAGTATTGTACTGCAAGTAAATATAACTTGAAATAAACCACTATGGAAGGCGAGAGGAGTGAGGCCGCAGAAGCCTCTGCACCGATGGCCCCGCCTCCACCGAAATTCAAGCCGCCTCCGCCAAAATTTCCAGGCTTGCCTCCAAATAATGACGCCGACGTTACTCCTAGGACCTCAGCTGGTAAGCACTTGTCTGGGTTTCGGGGCTTCCTTTCCCCCACCCTGATGCCACCAGGGTCGTTTTCGGCCTGTGTGTATGAAAGCGGCCCCACGTCATCACCGCCTGCAGTTTAAGATCTTATCTTGGCTGCTCTGGACTAAACCATGGAAGCAGCCCCTCCCCCGCGTCCTCCCCAATCGCACGACCCCTCCCCCACGTCCTTTCTGTGGTACCTTGTTTGGTGCTTCCTCTGCTCCTCTCTGCGTGAACACATTTGCAGCGAGTGATAGCGATGCTACTCCCAAGCCTCCGGACGCCGACACCCGTCACAGCCCAGCCCCTGCCCCCACTACTGGCGCCGCAACTGGCAGTATCGCCACGTCCAGCACTGCCGCCGCTGCAGCGGCGGCGGCCCGTGCGGCGGCAGCAGCTGCAGCTGGTGCCCTTCCTGCTCAGCGGGATCGCGTCATCGCACAGGTCACATCCGCGATGGTGGGTCAGGGAATTTGTACAGATTCCGCAACAGCTGGTCCCGTACTAGTTACAAGTTCCGTACGCAGTAGTACTGCTGCTGCTGCTGCTTGCTGCTAGAGGTGGGACTTCGAGGTTGATCTTGAGTCCGAAAGCAAACCGAACCGCACAGCCCCCGGTTAGCACCTACCGCCTGTCTCCCAATGCTCCTATCCGGCAGCTGCTGATCTAGGTGCCGAAGGGAGGAGAGGGCTATATAATCCAAGCAGCAACGGGTCAAATGCCGGGGAGGAGTTTCTTTAGTCGGTCAGCGGGTCGGATCCTCCGCGACCAGCTCCGCGGTGGGCTCAGTGGGTCGTGAGGGTGGGTCCCAAGTCCTGAAGCAGCGGGACTAGAGGCTCGTGTAACTTCTTCACGTCGGGGTGTAGCCGCCCGCGGCCGCCATGTAGGGCCACCCGGTGACCACCCCGGTGAGTAGGTGCACAGTAAGTAGGTAGGTGGGGGTGCACACACACAACAGCCGGCCCTAAAGCCACCCTTTCCCCCTCGTGTTTTACGTAACGACCTAGGCGCTGCAGTTTCCATCCCAATACCCAATACCCAGTACCCAACACCCGCCGGACTACCTACACATGACATCGACCCGACCTGCACCCGGTCTGCACCAACAGCACACATAGAGAAACTCATCAGAATCGCGAATTTGTTTATCCCGAAACTTGTTGATCCCGAAACAAACCCCCACGTGCCGCAGTTCGCAAAGGCAGCAGCGGCGGCGACGGCGACACCGGCCGAGGGTGCAGAGGAGGCTGGCGGCCCTGGTAGCGGCGGGGGCGGCAGTGCGGGCGGCGGCCTCCCGCCGGGTCCGGCTCCTACATACGAGCCCCCTGCCTGGAGCGGCATCCCAGCAGGGTGAGTTCAGGCTGTACGGCAGCGGCGGCCACGGTGGTAGCGGGCACACGGGTACTGGCAACCTGGGCTCCCCGCGGGTCGCCTGGGCTGTGGTGGTATGGGGGGGCTAGGGGGGTGGGGGGCCGCGCGGGGTAGGGATCAGCAACGAGTAACGGTGTAGCTGAAGCAGCGCGGACAAGGGTGAAGGTATCGACACTAGGGCCCGGTTCGCCTCCATATCTACACAACGGACCCAGCCGGGGCGGGAGGAACTCCCTGGACCCGGGAAGGGAAAGAGGGGGGAAGACGAACCACGAACGGAAAAGGGGGGAGGGGGGAAGGGGAAGGGGAAGGTGAGGAGGGCGGAGGGGACATGGTCCCCAGCCAGGCCGTGAAGACCGTGCGGTGCAACAGAACCTCACCAAGGGGGGTTCCATATCTCGATTACCACGTGCGTGCGTATTTGTGTACGTGGTTATGTGTATGCCCCTCCCTTGCGCGCTCCTTTCCCGCGTTCCCTCCCCTTTCCTTGTTTCAGACGTGGTGGCAATTGTTTTTTAATGGCTCTTGCATCGTCGTGGTCATACCATATCATCATCGTCGTCACCACCAGCACCATGAAATGCGATTTCCCCTCTGCCAATTTCCCGTGTCTGTGCCGCACTTCCGACCACCCTCCCTCGCCGCCTGCCTGGTGCATCCCCTGGACTCACCTGCTCTCCCCTCCGCCACGCACTCCTCGCCCCCTAACCCCCCTCTCCAGGGTGGACTACTCTTTGGAGGTGCTGAAGAACGGGGCCATTGTGGAGGTGGGAGGAGGGAGGAGGGCGGGAAGGGAGGGGGCTCTCTGCTGGGGACTGAGGCTGGGAGCTGACTTGAGGGGAGGGTAGCGTTGCCGGGGCTGGACAAAAAGCGCAAGGCTGGGTTAAAGGTGCAAGGGGTAAGGGCACATATGCTAAAATGGGTGGTCGTGGTGGTGGGGTGAATCATATGCAAGGGAACAAGGAATGAACTGCCGGCGTGTCCAAAGTTTGAAGCTGCCCAGTGAGTCCTAAGCGATGAATTCACCGACCCATGGTGGGTGGGGTGGGTGGGGGAAGTCACCGGGTTGGTGAGGGGGGTGGGAATGTGGGTGGGATGGGTGGGAATGTGCCCATGTAACCCTTCGACAGACAGCCCCCCAGGGCCCCAACAACCCCCGAGCCATTCACGTCTTTTTCTTCTCACTTTCTCTGTGCGCCCTTCTCCAGCTCGTACCTCCACCCGCTCCCACCAGTAACCCCTCGTCAGTCCTCCTGCTCCCACCCCGTCCAACCCAACCCAACCCAACCCTACCCCGTCCCTCTGTTTCCCCCCCCCTTTGCACCCCCCCCCTCAGACCCGGCCGGTGAGTTCACAACCCTTCTACACATTCGGCCGCAACCCCTCTGCTGACTTCATCTTGGAGCACCCCTCGGCATCGCGACTACATGCCGTACTGCAGTACAATGGGGAGACGCGGGAGGTGGGTCGGCGGAGCGTGGGGAGCAACCGGGCCGGGTTGGGAAGAGGAGGAGGAAAGCCGCCTACCCATACCAGGCCACCGTAGGCAGGTAGGCCGTAGTTTGGGGGTTGTTGGTTGGGAGGTTGGTTGTGTTCGGTTGGGACTTCAGAGATACCAGCGCCAGTTTGGGTTTGGGATTTGGTTTTTGGGAGATTAGGGGTATCTGATGGGGCACCTCTATTGAAATCCCCCATTACGGCGAGTCGTTTCCGTTACTTGGGGCTCATTCAGAGGAGGGGGCTCTTTGGAAAAGCCGGCAGTTCACTTTTTGGGCGAGGCCTCGAGCGCGAAGCGCGTTTTGGGGGACCGAGGCCCCCGGGGTTCACTGCTGTCTGTCGGCCAGTCAGTCAGTCCGTCCGTCAGCGTCGTGCCTCATTATGAACTCGCATGCCGCGCTGAACTGAGAGTTGCATGTAAAAGCTAGTACTGGGACTCTCTATCGATTCGCCGAAGGAATGTTTCACACACATTTGTTTGTGCGGAAAAATAGCTTTCCGCGGCCAATGGAATTGGCTTCCCATGCGTCCCCGGCCTGAAGACGCAACCCCAACTTACCATCGCGAATCCATACCTACCAGCCACGACCTTCAGCAATAATGAAATATACGGCGCCCAGCTCCGCCACACTCCGCAACTCCAGCCCATCCAGCCCATCCATGCCCCAGCAAGGCTGGCCAACGCCTAACAAGACTGCACACGTATACATCCTTACACATGACTCATATACGCTGTACAGAGGTGGATTTGTAACTGGCTAGCCATTTTTGTTGAGATGGAGGCGGCGCGCAATATGGATTTGCATTGGCGCCTTAGCAGCAAGTGTATATACACCGGATTCATACCTCACTCCAACGCCGCCGGCCGCCGCACCAGTCCCTTTTCGCAGCTTTCCATAACAATGATCGCATCGTCCAAACACGACACCGTTCCTCCACTTGCAGCCCAGCACCGTACAGCCTCCCCTGCGGAATAGTGTGGGGTAACTGGCCGTGCACTGGGGCCGAGAGCCCTTTTCGGCTTCGAACAAGCTGACCACCCTAATCTCTTTCTCGCACATACTCCCCAACCCCACCACCTACTGGCAGGCCTTCATCTACGATGCCGGCAGTACACATGGCACATTTTTGAACAAACAACGGATTAAGCCCAAGGTGAGCAATGTGGTAGGGGGTGTGAGGGAGAGGGGGGTGGGGCTGCAGAAGTGATGTTGCTGTCGCCAGCTCAACAAAGCGGTTGACGACCTGGCTGACTAACTGACTGGCTGACTGGATTCCTGGTTGGGAGGGACCGCTCCGGAGGGCGGTAGGATGGAGGGGAAAGCGAGGGGCCGGACAGGAGGGGATTAACGTCAAGATGCATACATACATACATATGTTTGTACACCAGTAGCTCCTATTCCCCTCAGGTATTTCTTGCATATGATTCCTGACCCCCTTCTGCTGTCGCACCCCGACTCGCCCCCAGATGTACGTCCCCCTGGCCGTGGGTCACACTCTGCGGTTCGGCAGCAGCAGCCGGCTGTATGTCCTGTGTGGTCCGCAGGAGCTGATGCCGCCCGAGGGACTCACCCCGGGGCAGCGGAAGCAGCTGGCGGTGCTAGAGGCCAGCAAGAAGATGAAGGAACGGCAACAACAGGTGCTTGGTGGGTGCGGGTGCGGGCTATTACATACATATGCGGGTGGCCCTTGTGTCATCAGACTTGCAACTCTCCCTCTCTCAATGGGGGCCCCTCATGCGTGCGTCACCTCGCCCGGGTCCCCGGTCTCTCAACATTTGTTCTCGCCATTTTTCTCCCCCCCCCACCAAAGTTTTCGGTGGGAGTTGCATAATCGTGCTGGGATGCTGTGGCAGTTAGCGGCTTTTGATTCGGATTCGGATGTGTCAGTACAGTTGTTTCTGTGCCCCTTGCATGTGCCCCCTGTCCCCCTCTCCTGATCTCCCGTACCCGGGCCCCTGGTGCCCCCGTACGATTTCTACCCCCTGCTGGTTATGCGTCTGCTGCTGCATCTGCCATGGCTACTACTGCTACTGCTACTGCCACTGCCAGGCTGCACAACGCAGTATGAAAGCTGCACTGTCCGGCGGTATCACCTGGGGCATGGCGGACGGGGGTGACGAGGATGACCCCATGGGGGGTGCGGATGTGGACCTAGGGGACACAGATTCCATTGACTGGCGGGCGCTGGTGGCGGCGGGGCACCAGCTGAATGACCGACAACAGAAGCTGGCAGAGAAGATACGGTATGTGCTGCATGCATCTGAATCTGTGCTTGTGTATGCGGGTTTGGTGAGGCGGGGTGGGCGGGGTAGTGGTTTCTTAGGAGAACCAATGGGACGGAGACGAGTTGCATTAGAAAAGGAGGTAGCAGTCGTGAAAAGGGGAGACGAGCAGCTGTCTCCCTTCCACAGCAGTCATAGGGGCATGGTAGCGGCGATATGGAGACAAGCTGCAGCGGGAAGGCCGCTCCCCATTCCCACGACTGCTGCAAACCCCCCTTCCCACGGCTGCTGCTGACCCCCCTCCCCCCCTTCCCCCAGCTCCAAGGAGTGGAAGCTCCAGAACCTGAAGACTGAGAACCAACGCATCACCGCTAAGGAGCGCCAGGAGGGCGGTCTGACTCAGGGCCAGGCGACCACTCTGGCTAGGAACACGCAGGTGGCTGGTGACGGGGAGGGCGGAAGAGAGGGGGGAAGGAAGAGGGGGGAGGGAAGAGGGGGGAGGTTGTCTAGAATGGCCGGATGACGAAGGGATTTACGGCCCGGAGCAGACCACCCAGTAGTGAGGGATGGGAAGGTGTACTGGGATTTACATGTAACGTGAATTAAGGAAACCGGCACGAAGTTGGCCAAACCAACCATTCGAAGGCCGGGAAGGAGGCGGGAAAGGGGCAGGAGAGAGCAATTCAGGTCTGGGTCAGTCGGAGGGGAACGAAAGGGGGGAGGAATGCCCCTTCCCACCAAAAGCCCTTGGATGAGATATTTCCCCCGAGTGCTTTGTTGTCATGGTGGGTGTGACTCCAAACGGAGGAGCTACCTGTAGCGCTACAGTCCTTGCCCTTTTTTTCCTGCAAGGCCTTAGCTTGCGTGCCCTAGCTCCGCGCCACGCAGCCAGACAGCCACACACCCACACGCTCAGCTCTCTGGCCATATCGTGGCCCGCTGCACCTGACCCCACCAATGTTATATGTATGCTCACCGTCTCACATCTGAATCCTGTGGCTCGCTTCAGCCACTATCCCCGCGTATACACACGTACGCACACACATACACACACACACATACACACGGCTTCCCCTGCCGGCAGTTGGTGTTCTGGGTATCGGCAGATGTCTCCCACGTCCTCCTATAATTCCCCTCCGTTCTCCACCACCACCATTACCACCACCATTACCACCACCACAAGCCCCCCCGTTCAACTCCCACCCCCTCAGGCCATGGATCGGCTGGAGGAGGAGTTGGAGGATTTGGAGGAGACCCTGAGGGAGAGCATTCGGGATGCGCTCATGAACAAGGTGTGGGGGGGGAGGCGGGAGCTGGTATTGGTATAAGAGTCGGGAGGGTAGGGGGGAAAAAAGGAGAGCAGGGGTGTTGAGGGGGAGCGGAGGCAGGCGGGGGAGCAGGAGCAGGAAGAGGAAGAGCAGCGCCGGAAGAAGAGGAGGCGGGAGAAGGCCCGGGAGGCGAACGTTACAGAACGGCCGAAGACAACTCTCCAGGGAAGGTCGGGAGAAGTGCAGGAAAGTGGGGGGGGGGTCGTTTCACGCATCATGCGATTTCCCCTCCCCCTACCGCCGCCCTTCTTCCACCCGCGCACATTACACTCCCGTGCGTGGTCTTCGCACCCCGACACACCCCGACACAACACAACACAACACGACACAACACAACACGACACGACAGAAGCGCGAGGCGGAGGCGGCGCGAGGAGGTGGAGGTGACAAGAAGCGCAAGGCCCGCGGAGCCGACAGTGAGGATGAAGGTGCCGGCAGCGACAGCAGCGACGAGTTCTTCGATCGTACGGCAGGAAGTGGGGCGGCGGCCGTCGCCATCAAGCGACAGAAGGGCGCTGGCGGAGGCACCGCCGCCCCAGCCGTGGCGGCGGTTGAAAGCGCGGAGAGCTTGTACGGCAAGAGGTAGGTTGTTTGGAGGCAGTATTTCAGCGTCTGGCATCCCCGGCATTAGGACGGCTGGGGCCCTGGTGAGCCTGAGAGAGAGAGGGGGAGAGAGGTAAAGGTGCTCCGACTGACTGACTGACTGACTGGTCTTTCCAGAGGAAGGTCCGGTTCCCCTCCCTGGCGCAGTCTACACTTCCAGCTGTTGCCGCTACTCCCCTCGTTCCGCCCCATCCGCCTACATGGTGCCGGTCTAGGGGCCCTCGTGGCGCCTTCGTGTATGAGCTCCGATGCTGGGAGGTACAGCCCCGTTGAAAGGGGGTAAAGGTGGTGTAACTCGCACATGCATACACACAAGCACGCTCAGTCCGGGTCGCTGCCGGGGTCCGGGTCCTGCTTCGTGGTCCTAAGTATCACTGTTCGTGTGCCGCAGCAGCAGCGGCTGCTTCTCTCTCTGTGCTGTCTGCACGCTGTTGTGTTGCGTCTGACTGTTGCTGTCGGTGTTATGGTCGTTCATGGTGTCTGTCTGTCTGTCTGCCTGTTTTTCTGTCAGGGAGTTGCTGTTGGAGGAGCAACGGCGGCTGCAGGCGGCGGTGGTGGCGGAGGCCGCGGTGCTGGCGGCAGCAGCTGTTTCGGCCTCCGCTGCCGCCGCCGCCGCCAGTGACCAGGTCCCTTGTGGCGGTGGCGGTAACGGTGGCGGTAACGGTGGCGGTGGCGGTGGTGGTGGTGGTGGTGGCGGGACGCACCGTGAGGCGTCGCCATCGGATATGCACCGGGGTTCAGCGAAGGATGGGGATGAGGGGGGGCAGGACCACCGGAAGGACGAGCTCGGGAAGAGGGCCGACGACAGTGTCGCCGCCACCGCCACAACCACCACCACTGGCACCGCCGGGGATGGGGAGGGGGAAGGGGAGGACAGCTTGGATGCGTTCATGGCGACTATGGGCGCACAGATTGAGAAAGACAAGGTGAGCGGGGCCGCTTGGTGGCGGTGTTGGAGGGGGCCCCCGAGGGTGGGGGGTGGGGGGAAGGTAAGACGAACCAACTCACGATTGAAGCCGATACCAGAGATGGACGGATAGTCCATTGACGCGTAGTGGGTGGTGGTGGAGGACTTTGTGAGGTTCTGTGCGAGGAGCGGCGGCAGTGGAGGGTGGGCAGCACCTCAGCTGGGGGGAGGGGCGGGGGAGAGTCGCGCGCTGCAAGGAGGGGGGGAAGGGCCCGGAGAAGGCGATGAGGTCCGCAACCCTAACACGACATTAAGAGCCAGCCCCAAACAGTCTTAGGCAAGCCTAGGTGATCACGCCCGCGATCCTGAATTCTCGAGGAGCTTCCGCTTCCTGACATTCATACCTGTCCAATGCTGCCTTATCCCTACTGCAGCCTAACATTTCTTTTCTCTCATCACACCTTTCCTTCTCTCTCCATCCCTCTTGCCCTCGCGCACTCTCTCTCTCTCTCGCTCTCTCTCTGTCGCCAGTTCCCCCCCCGGACAGCCCCCATCAGTAATCACCGCTCCCCCCGCACCTGCCCACCGGAAACCTAACAAAACGACTCCATGTGCTCCCTCCGCCCGCTACCACTACCACCACCACCACTACTACCACTACCAGATGGCTTCCCTGAAGAGGCAGCTCGCGGAAGTGGAGGCACAGCTGGCGCGAGTTACGAAGCTGCTCAGGATAGCCGACCCGGATGGCTGGCTGAAGCCCGGGTCGGCAGCGGCGGAGAGAGCACGCGCGGCGGCCGCGGCTGCAGCGGCGGAGGACCGGCGGGTGAAGGCCGCGATGGCGGCGGCGGCAGCCGCCAAGCGCCGCAAGGAGGAGGAGGTGTGCGCACGTGTGTGTTTTGGGGGAAGGAGTGAAGGAGGAAAGGGTCGTAAGGCCCATCAAGGAAGAAATAGAACGCGGTGGCATGCGTCTTTGTTGGTCGTAGGACCTAGATCACCTGTGTGTGGGTGCTGTGGGTTCTCCGCCGGGAAAGGTGGCCCTGCGTTGGAGAGGGGAGCCGTAAGATGAAAAAAAGCCTTCCCTTTTATAGCATATCCTGTTAGCCACATCTCCCACGTGTCCCTCTTCTCCCTCTTTCTCTTCTGCCACCTGCTGTCGAGCTCGCTCTATTCCTGTGTGGCATCTGGATACCGCCGGGGCGGAGGGCTGTTCCGCAGGGCCGACACCGGCCCGTCCTTCAGCCAGTGCTCGCGCCCTGTAGGGCCCCCTCCTTAGTGGTTCTTAGCGAGATTCTTAGGGAGACCGACCCCTCCTTCCCAATCCTCCTGTCCTTCTTTCGCACCTCCTGCGTCGCACTGCCAGGCCGCCAAAAAGGGCTTCGTAATAGAGGTGGAGGAGGAGGAGGAGGAGGCGGAGGCAGGGACCTGTGAAGGTGGTCGAGGTGGTGGCGGGGCGAGTGGGCCCCGGATAACGGGACAGCGACAGAAACAGGAGGAGCAGCACCCGGGTGACGGCAGCGGCGCCAGCGGAAGGGGAGTAGAGGGAGGAGGAGGAGACCGAGGCAGGTGAGCTGTGAGGGGGGAAGGAACCTGGTTTGGGCTGTTTTGATGTTTGTGTGCGGGGAGGGAAAGGAAAGGGACCACGGGGATGACACAGCTGGGTGCACCTGTGCGACCTCCCCCCACCACCTTTTTTCCGTCTTCCCACCTTTCCACGTCTTTCCGCCCTTCCACCACCGGCACCACTACCGCCCTAACTTCCCTTCGTGATCCCTTTCGTCAACGTTTTTGGCCATTGCATCTGACATCTTGACACCGCCAATCGCCCTTAACATATCGCCATCGCAGTGCCTGCGTTGCCAGCGCCACAGAGCCACCGTCGGTCTCTGCTGCTGCCGGTGCTGCCGCTGGCGGCGGCGGCAGCGGGTTGTTAATCATTAAGCGACCGCCCGGGGCAGCGGCGGCGCCTCGTGGGGTGAAGCCAGGACAAAGAGTGCAGCAGCAGCAACAGCCGCATCAGGGTGGCCAGTCGGGGCCCCAGCCGGCTGGTGTCAGTGCGGCGGCAAGGGCCGCGGCAGCTGCCTTGATGGCGGAGATGAACGTGGCGCCGTCACAGCCCGCACTTCCGGGTCGCGGCCGGGGGCTGGCCATGGACGACGCAGCGGAAGGAGAGGCGGCGGAGGCTCGCGGTGGCGCTGGCAAGGTGGGGCGGTTGCGGAGAGGGCTACATGGGGAGATCATGGGACGCGGAGATTATGACCATATGAGGGGGGGAGGGGCCTCAATGGGGAGCCGCCGGAAGGTGCACACCGGGGTTATGCTCAGCTAACGAAGGCGGCGCAGCGCGAGGAGGCGGAACCCTCTGACCTGGTATCGATACATACATACAAAGGATATCCGACCCCACAGCCGTTTCAGTTGATAGGACAGAAGCGTTGGTAGGATAGGGCATTGATAGGATAGAAGCCGCTAGCCGGGATATGGCGGCTGCTGGCTGGGTGGCTGATGTTCGGGATTCTTCTGTGGTCGCTAAGGGGGGGATCCTGGTCTCCTGGTCACGCCAGTCGGAATTGTCTTCGTGTCGTTGGTTGTGTGCAGGGAGCGCACAGGGTCGGAGGAGGCGCAGGTGGCGGCAGCAGCAGCTCGGCGGAGGCGGCGGTGGCGGCGGACCTGGAGGTCCTGGCGGCGGCGCGACGGCGGCGGGAGGAGCTGGCGGAGGCGGAGGCGGCGGAGGCGGTGCAGTGGCGGCCGCCGGAGGGCCAGCGGGGCGACGGGCGAACCAGCCTCAACGACAAGTTGGGTTACTAGCGGTAGTGCGCCTTGGGTGTGTGGGAGGTCCCAGGGGGCAAGGAACTGCATGGTTGGGGCTTGGGGTAGACGCAGTGAAGGAGAGGGGGGCATGGGAGTGCTACTGGGATCTGGGTTCTGGCTGCTAATCTGGGGAAGGAGGGGGGGGAAATGCGTGGAGATGCGGCCGCTGTGCTGAGTTGCGACCGCTCCTGGGACATAGCGCTTAGCTGTTGGATTGCGGTTTTGTTTGCCGTACTGGCGGGGGCTGGAGGGGGAGAGAGCTGGACATTGGACAAGAGATATGGCGAAGGATTGTATGCCTGGTTGGGCACAGGACATAGGGAAATGACTGAACGACGTTTAAACTTCCTCCCTGGCCTCTGGCCTGTGGCCTCGGGCTGGCAGTTATCGGTCTTTGATCCCTTCCCCCGGCTGGTAACCAGATGCGGCATACACGGTGCCATAGCTGGCACTAGTAAGTGTGGTAGTACGTGAGCTCGCGGAAAGAGCTGTCCTCTTGGGGACATCAAATCTCAGCAAGGAATGGCTTGGCTGGTCTGTGCCCGGCGGGATGGCTTGACCAGACCATATAAGACCAGCAGTGCAGGAGCCGGATTACAACATGACGGTCGGCACTGATGAGGGGGGAGGGGCATCTTCGTGACGGCCATTCTGACGCTCCCTTGAGACTGTGCGGTGAAGGGCCCCTCATTTTGAGGTTAGAGCGAACAATGGCGGGGAAGGGTGGGGGTGGGGGTGGTGCGAGCATTGCATCCTGCACTGCTGCCTCCTTGAAGCCGTAATTAGGCATTCATAAGGGGCCCCACAGGGGATACCAGATATACTGAATCCGTCGTGGGGATGGTGATGGTGAAACAGCTTTCGTGCATTCTTCTTAACGCCATGTCCAGGTCTGAAGCGCAGAAGACGGTCCAACTATAGCCGATGGCCCTCCACCCGCACCCACCCCACCCCACCCACAGCAAATCCGATCCGATATGGATTTCTGACGCGGTGGCCCCACGTGACGCGAATCCTCTCCTCCGCCTTGGGTAACGCAACGCAACGCAGCACAGCACGCTTGCGCGGATTCAACTTGCATCGATTTTGCTTAATCGATGTCCGTACATCGATGCATACTCCACATGCTCACAGAAATGCAATAGATAACAAAGCCAACAACCCCTGAATGTAAAGAACGACAGAAACGGTCTTCTCTAGATCTATTCATCTATTTATGTAATCAAGAGGAAATTTCCTTCCAAGTGGGTCGATTGCTGCGCAGTCGAGTGATCAGTGTTCGCCATCAACATATGGCTCATGCAGGTGTTCCTTGCCCCGGTCGACCGTCCCGCCAAGGATGGCTCTCATCCCCCGAAGTCAAATGCTATGTTCTGCTTGCCCGTGTCTGCAAAAATATTGGATCTCGACCCGCTGTATTTATTGCCGGCGCCGTAACCGACTGTCCAGCCGCCTGCGGGGTACGATGTGCGTGTGTGTGGGGGGTTGGGTGTGGGGGGGATGTGAAAGGGGAGAAGGCGGGTTATTTTAGGGATTGTGGTAAACGGGGTAAGCGGTCTGGGACAGCAATATCTGTCGCCGTCGCCGCCTCAGGACCGCACAACCTCAGAGGGTCTGAACGCGCTTTAATCGCAGACTGGTGGCAATGGAAAGCTCTGAAAGACTGCGGCTACTGCAGCTGTCCCGCCTCACACCGGCCTCTTCCCCCCTTGGAGGATCAGGTACCCACCGGCGCCTGCGGTGGTGCCCCCCTCTCCAGCCACATTGGCCGTCGTACCCCCCGCCATGTACGTCTCCGACGGCGCCTGGAAAAAGTAGCCGCGCCCGAATGTCAGTCCGCCAGCCACCACGCCTGCCTGCCGTGCAGGTTCTGCGATACGGCAAGTACGGAAAATAAAACATAGAATGCAGTTGAGACGAGGCAACATTGCAGGGCAAGGCGGCTGCGACGGTAGCAGCTGCGCACGAGGCTCTCTTGGCAACCCAGATGCTGCTACTGCTGCTACTGTTGCTGCTAGACCAGCAAAGCAGGGCGAGATGTCAATTTGGTCCTCTGCCCTCCGGCTACAGAAGTCTCCTTACGGCATGTCTGTACTAGCATCTTTGTAACGGCGACCAACCTGACCGCATTTCCACACATGGGAGACTGAGGCGGCCCCTGACCTCCCAGATCTCCATTACCGGTGGTGCCCACCGTAATAGGAGACCCGCACCCCTGCAATCTCTGTTGTGCGACATGTCTTCCTCCCGACCACCTTTTGACGTCCTTCCTCCTCATCCTACTTCTCTTGCTCTCTCTCCCCCTCCCGCTTTCTGGTGTGTTGTCCCCTCCTGCCTTTTCGAACCCCACATACAAACACCATGGGGGTCTTCTCCGCCGAATGGGCGCCTTCGCTTTCCCGCCAGTCCCCCACTTGACCCCCGTGTACGTCCCCTCACCTTGGGGGGCGCCGGTGAAGGTGTCATTCCCGATAATATCCCTCTGGGCCAGAGACTGACTGACACCCCGGATGGCCGCGGAGAAGCTCTGGAACGGGGGCGAGAAGAGATAAAAGGGAAACGATGAACCGCGGATGCAGATGCGAAGGGGACAGCGCGCGGCCCTGGCGGTTTGGGGGAGGGGTGGGATGCGACGACGCGGAGCAGGAGAGCTTCGGGCCCGTGTGTGATGGGCTGGGTCGCGGAATGGGGTGTCGCGAGGTGGCCCCGGGGTTGCTTGCGGGCCGTTCTCTAGGCTGAGTCCTTCAAACCCCGGGTTGTTTGCCCTCCTGGTGAGGCCGGTCATTAGGAACGTCTGGAATATGGTTTTTCCGGGTCAGGGCTATCGGGACTCCAGGAGCCCGCTGGCGGGGGGTTGGGGTGTGTGTGTTCCGGATGAGAGGTGCAGCAGTTCTGGAAGTGCGTTGTGGGTTATCGCAGCCTAAGCGTGCGAGTCTGTGCGGCTGAACGGTCTCAGCCTTCAGGCACCAGTTCCTGAAGCGGAGGTATCAGCACCCAGCCGAAATACAGTCGGGACACCGTTTGCGGCAAGGGACCCCTTGAAGGCAGACACACAGACAGACAGACAGACAGACAGATGCCGCCGCGAGTATATCCGTGTGTATACCTGTATGGTAGACACCACGTTGAGTCCCGTTGCGGCGTTCTGGGGTTGGGGTTGGGGATCGGGGGTTTTAGGGGGTACGAGTACCCGGGGCGGGTAGGATTGTGGGGGTTTAGTGGGGGGATGGGATGAAGTTAACGAGGGCTGCCAGGCTGTGTTCTGCCCCCCCTCATCCCCCCAAACCCTACCCGTGGGGACCTCCGCAGTCCCCAATATGTCGGGGCCCCCATTATGTTCCCAATCGGCCCCCCATATATCCTCCCCCACCCACCCACCCACCCGCCCCCGCTGCGTTTCCCTCTCCTGTCCTGGTCCCACCTTGGAGCTTCCGGACGTTGTGGCTTTATCGTCCCGTACTGCAGCGCTAGTGCTGCGGGTGCGAGCTAGCCCCGTCTGGGGCACGATCTGTGGTCCGGAGTAGTAGCTGTTCAGGAAGCGATAGAACTCTGTGTGGATTGCGGTGGGGGCGGGGAGGGGCTAGGGTGGAGGTGGGAGGGCTAGGAGCTGCCTGCGGAGCGGGTGCACAGGGATGCGTGGTGATAATCTGGGTGGCGGTGGTGGTGGTGGCGATGGTGGTAAACGGGAAAGAGGAAATGCGAAATGTGTGAACCCTGAAGGAAAGTCCCCGTTATTCTGTGTAACGGTTAAGACGGACAGACAGACAGACGGACAGACCGACAGACGGGTTGCCCCGGCACGATGGCTGGCCGGGCCAGTCAGCAGCCTCGCCCAGGATTCACGTTCCTCACGTGCATAGAAATAGTTATATTGCCCGGCTCTGCCGTACTCTAGCGTCGTCGCCATTAGCACGTCAAATGGGTCGTACAGGTAGGCGGTGTACGGCGAATCCTTGTTTTCGTCGTCCTTGTTTTTTGTGCCATTCTTTTCGTCGTCCTTGTTGTCCTTTCCGTCGCCCTTGCTTTCGTCGTCCTTGCTTTCACCGCCCTTGGTCTTGTCCTTTTTATGTTTATGGTTGTGGGCCTTGGCGGTTTGTGTACGGTATTTGTCTTCGCCCGCAGTGAACATAGCATTGCCGTCGATTCCGTTGTCGCCATCTATGTTGTCGCCACTGCCAACACCGGATGATGCATCTCGCAGTGCCGTCGCCGTGTTGCCGCCAGGACCATCACCATCGCCATGGAGGTCATCATCATTGTACGACATGTCGTATTCGACATTGTAAAAAGGATACATGTAGCCGTTCCAATAGTCGTACTCAGCGAGGAGCGCATCGACGTTGACGTCGTCTGCCTTGCGACCGACGCTGGCGCCGCCAGCGCCAGCGCCAGCGCCAGCGCCAGCGCCAATGCCGCCCTCGCCTGCCGTCGCCGCAGTCGTCATTGAGGTGTTGACGGCCCGCACTCTGTCATCATCATCAATAGCTTCGGCACCAGACATCGTAACATTACTGTTGTACGCGCCAACCCCGGTGTCCCGAGGTTGGGCCTGCTGTGGCGACTGCCCCCCACCGTCATCACCGCCACCATCATCATGATGAGCATCTTGTCCCTCCCTGGATTTCAGCGGCCGGTCCATCGTGTCGTCTTTGCCATGATGGTCCTTCTCATGCCAGCTGGACGGCGGCGGCTTGAGCTTCACGATTCTCCGCTGCGCCAGCGCCGCCGTCAGGATGTCTGTGACGACGTTGACGTCGCCGAACGGCACCTGGCTCACAGCCCTGTGGGGCGCTCATGAAGGGGCGGGCGGGTAGGCGCATGCACACCCACACCCACACCCACACCCACAGCAAACAACACAACACCGCCCATTAATTTCTCACAGCATAAACACACACACACACACACACACACACACACACACACACACACACAAACCCTTACAAACGCACAACAGAGAGAAAAAAGGACACTGTTAAGAGAACAGAAAGCACCGGGCTGACAAGGGCCAAGCGAGCCGCCAAGAGGGATAAGGCGAGAGGGATAAACCAAGAAAGGAATCTTTTCCGGGCCCCCATTCGCCACACGCACATAAGCCCGGAGCTCATAGGGAGCTCATACGCGAATACGGGCTGTAAAGCTCTGCAGTCGTCCGCTTTGCACCCACAACCCTCTGCCTAACCCCCCCCCGTGCTTGCTCCCCCAGGCATTGCGACATCACTCAGGCACCGCTTCCCCCCCGCGGCTCAGATCAGTAAAATAAGACGAACACATAGACGCGCACACACACGTGCGCGACGTAAAGGTACCCACGGTAAGCAGCTCCCGGCCCTGGTGCCCCGGGGATTCCGGGGGTTACTTAGCTACAAGGACACTGAGGTCACCCCTTCAGAACCGCAATATACCGGACCGAATACGACAGTCCATGCCAGCTCCTGTCCGTGTCCCCCTTTCCAGATACACACATGCCGGTCCCCGACTGTGGCCCCCCTCGCTGCCACCCGCACCTGCCCGCTTGCACGCCATCCCCCGCCGCGCCCCGCCGGTCTGTGGCCGTGCCGAAGCGGAAACTGTGCTGTGAGGAGCCGCCGAAGTCATTCGTGAGCGAGAAGCTCACCCCGAAGGGGAAGCCGGTGCCCTGGAAGGTGCTCGCCACCGCCGAATTGGCGGATCGGTCTGCCAGAGAACACACACAGATAGACAGGAGAGCAGGGGAGGCACAGCAGGCCCAGAGGAATTAACGCAACTGGAAGCCAGTGACTATAGAAGCTGAGGGAAGGCGTGGCTTTTGGAATGATAGGCGGAGAGCAGTGGTATGGGCGTAAAGCAGAGCGGAGACCTTTCTTATCGCGGAATTGGGTCCGCGCGAAGGCTGCTGCTGCTAGCGCTTTCGGCATTCGCCCCAGCCTGGAAAAACCTTCAACATTTATTTCTTTGCTGTGGTGTAGCAGATGTGGCACCCACATTCCGGACTTACGGAGCCGATGCTCTCCCGCTGCGGTCGGCGGTAGGGCAAGGCTGGCCGGGGAGGGGGTGCACGCCACTGCCCAGCCTGCCAGCCCCAACCCTTACACTTACTGCGTCCCGCGTTGGCTTGCGTCTGCGACAACGCCAGGCCCAGCAGGCCCACCAGCTTGAAGTCCGCGGGGAGGTCCGCAGAGGTCCGGGTCACGGGCAGGCGGCTCTCCACGAAGATCTGCAAAGTTTAGGTTTCGGGGCAGTGGGCGGGGCCGTGGGCGGGGCCGTGGGCGGGGCAGTGGGTGGGGCAGTGGGCGGGGCAGTGGGTGGGGCAGTGGGCGGGGCCGTGGGCGGGGCCGTGGGCGGGGCAGTGGGTGGGGCAGTGGGCGGGGCAGTGGGCGGGGCAGTGGGCGGGGCAGTGGGCGGGGCAGTGGGCGGGGCAAGGAGTAAAGTAGGACAGGGTGCATGGGGCCATCCCCCCACATTACCCTCCGATATCTCGTGCAGGTCCGTAGGAAAGGAAAAAGGGAAAAAACGTTACCCCTCAGGACCATAAGTTCCGGTGAATCATTGAGCACCTCCTTATCTCCAATTTATCAGTCTGTTGCGCTCAGGAATTGGCAACGGCGGCAGCCAGCCCGTGCTGTGGCTGTACGACCCGCGGGTCACACCACACACCTGCAGCAAGCTACGCGCGTGGCTCCAGTTCAGGTCTTCTTGTTGCTGTAGTTGCTGGTGGTGGCGGTTGTGCTGCTGCTGTTGCTGCAGACTTCCCCGCTGCTCTGTCCCGGCATCCTCCATCACCGGCTTTCCGACGCCACCCCTCTCCGCCAACCCCGCTGCTGACTCCGCGGCCGGTCTGCCAACAGCTGGAGCAGCACCCACATGGCCTCCCTCAGAGCTGATAGCCGCGGGTGCAGCCGATGATGCCTGCGGCGGCGGCGGAGAACCGCCGCTGGGATACATCATGTTCAACCCAACTTCGGCGGGACTCGAATGGGGGCCCACGAGGCTGCGGCCATCATGTTCAAATCCAGCACCTTGCACTGCGTCAAAATCAGCGCTTTCGTACACGTAGCCATAGTCGCTGTGTTCCGTAGTGGCAGCGGCAGCGCTAGCTGCTGCAGCGGCGGCGGCGGCGGTGGCAAGTGGCTCTAGTTCCCCTCCTGGCTGGATGCAGTGTTCGTACGGCGCCGTGAAGCGCTGCGGCAGTGGGCGGTCTAGCGGCAGCAGTGCGGCCTCCATTGCCCAGGCCAGGAGGTCGCTGCAGCGAGCTGCTTGCACATGCAACTGTAGCATCAGCTGCGGCTGCTGCTTCATCAAGTCTGCTTCAAACTGCTGCTGCTTCTGCTGCTGCAGCTCACCCTGTATTACCTGGTTCCCATGCCCGTCGTGTAACCGTGCAGACGGGCCCAGAAGTGCCTCTACGGCGTCGGCTTGACGGGATCTCGCGCTCGCAGTCTCCGCCGCGACCACCGCTGCCAAGGTTGCTGGTAGATCCTGCCTAACCGGCCACCGGCCACCGGCGGCATCATCCTGCTTCTGCCGTCGCCACCACGGATGCGGCGGTTCTTGAGCCTCTGCAGGGGCCATAGGGAGCACTCCGCTTCCAACGCGTTCCATGATGCCATGGCCCCCAGGGACGGTGGGCGAAACCGCACCACGCTGCATAGCAGTTTCCTCCTCCTGGGCCTGCAGATGGCTTTGTTGGCAGTTCCATGGCCGCCGCTGCTGCTCGGCATCGCCCCCCGCCAGCGCCTGAGTGCCTGTAAGCACGGCGGCTTGCGGCTGCGTATGAAACGGTACCGCACCTGTGACAGCAGTGAAGGTGGAGATGCTGCCGCCGCCGTTGCTGCCGGTGGGGCTAGCGGGCGGGCTTGCCACCGAGGGGTTTGGGTCTTCTGCCTCAGCTACATGGGCAGCCTGTGTGGCGAAGCTTCCTGAAGTAATCGGGATCCATAAGACGGCGGTTTCGGAAACACTGGGCTGTTCCTTGGCATCCGAGTAGTCACTGCGTGTCGGTGAGAGTGACCCGTAGGTCAATGCACTGAGGCCATCGTTACCTGAATAACCTGCAATCGGCTGCTGCTGCTGCTGCTGCTGCTGCTGCCGCTCAAGCTGTTCTCTTTGTTGAAGAGCTTGCATCAATAACTGTTGAACCTGCTGGTGGTGAGGGTCGTCCGGGTGGTGGCATCCGCCTGTGCTGTCTACTCCCCTCGCAGCATCGGCATTGCTGTCACTGCCGCCGCCGCCGCCGCCGCCGCCACCGTCGCCACTTTGAGCTCCTTCCCCATGGCTATGCTGTGCGTTAGGGGCATCGTTGTTCCACTGCACCACCGCTGAGGGGTACCCAGTCACTGCAGCCTCCTCCTCATATCCAAACAGCACCTGTACACAATGTGCAAGTGGGGGAGGCCTTCAGGATTTTGTATATTCGCACACTTTGGCGGATGGTCCAGGGGCTGGCCCTGCGATAGGTGCTGCCCACACTTCCACGGTACGGGCTCAGCATGCGCGTCCACGTACCCACCGCTGCCGCCGCCGCCACCGAAAATACATGTATCCATGAATCTATCAGGTGTACATCGTGCCCTACTTCATTCGCCTCCCCGCTTGCAATCCCTAGAAGCCCCACATACCTTCAAGCTCTGCACTAATGAAGCCGGGAAGGCTGATGGAAGTAATCTCGGCAGTGGCTGCGCCACTCCCGATGGTATCCCCTCAATGCCATCTGCTCTGCTTGCGGATGAAGCAATAGCAGCGGCGGTAGACTCTCGGGAATCCATCAAAGACGTATCTCCGGGGACACCCGCCCTGCTACAACGGCTGATGTCTGCGGCTGCCATTAGCAGCAGCAAGAACAGCAGCGGCTGTTTCCGCAGCGCCGCCGTCGCCGCTGCTATGACCACTGCAGGCGAAGCTGCTGCCATTGCCATGTGCACACGTGGTGTACAGTAGCGCAGCTGGTTTGGCGTCTTCATTCTTCAGACTCCACAGCCAGCCGGATTGGGAGGATAGCAGCGGGCAACTCACGCTTGGACGATCTTACGGATGGAGATCCTGATCCTGACTCAAGGTGTTCTAGGACGGTGCCGCAGCCTTTGGTGCGGGCTCCTCCTCCGCTCCTCCTGGCCTTTCGTGCAGGCGTCTGCGAACGAGAGAGCTCAAGGAAACACCACCTAACTCCCCCACTACCGGTGTGTGTGGCTTTGGGCTGTGCTGGAAGTGTTTTGCGTGTTTGTTGCTTTTGAGTTGTCCAGGGCAAACGTGGTTACTACGGATGAGCTGCTGCTGCTGCTGCTGCTGCCACGGTCGTCGGCCCCAGGCGTCGGGCGACCCGCGTGAAGAGTTGCAACAATCCCCTCGGTAGCGGAAATCTTGCTTAAAGGCCTGCTGTACTGTATGTTGGATTTCCGGCCCAAGACGAGGTTATTGCCCTGGAAATGAGACGTGGTCGCAGCCGGGAAATCTGGCTCACGCACGATGGCTCCTCAGTGGCGTCAAGTACATGCGATGCTGTGGAGCTATCGACGAAACGTGGGCTGCATCAGGGCTCTGTACTTGAGCCGTTCTTGAGCGGTTTCTCCGCTGTCCCGAGTGTGTCAGATGGAGAACCGTCACGTCCCAAGACTTTCCAAGAAGACGCCCGGTGAACGCCCGGTGGTAGCTGGCAGAATGGTGAGAACGGCACCTGGTGTGAGTGTATGCGGAATGGTGTATGCAGATGCTCCTGTACTATCTCGTACAGGCTTATATGCACGCGTTGCCGCTACAGCCTCGGGGTAATGAGCTGGGCCGATTATAGGACGGGGCCTTAACGGCTAACCGTCGCGGTGGCGTCAGATTTTCATATGCCAGGCACGTGTTTGAGCAATAAAACATTTCGAACAGAAGTAGGGAAGGTCTAGGTTAGGGATAAGGTTGAGCAAGCTTTATATGCGGCGCCACTAGGATATTTTGAAGACGCGCCGGGTGCTGGCTGTTGATCTGCCTTGGGAAAGGGCTGCGAGCGGCCTGGCAAAGGAATTCACTCATCAGAAGAGAGAACGCTTTGGGAACAGGTGTTTGCATGGCCCGTGTTAGCCAGGGTTGCTGGAATTGGAGATTGCGGGGTTTGCGGGGCCGGGTTCGCTTTTGCTTGCTGAGAGGGCCTGTCCTAGAATTTCCTCGAGAAGGCATTTGGATGCCACGATTCGGGCATTCCTTTAACCTTGACTCCTTCCGAGACACATATGCTACTACTCAAGATGCTGGTTTGTGCGTGCAGACATTTGCAATTTGAAGGTTGTTCACGCCAGATGCGACGCTATTCTCGTGATCTGTCCGATGCCGATAGCCTAGAGCATAGAAAGTCCATAACTCCTATACCACGCTGGAATTGAAAAAACCCTGGAAACCCTGGAAATAATAGAACCCCCTGAGCGTCTTTAAGACGCGTAAGTTACGCTCTCCCAGCCTCGTGCACAGAGCTCAAGCCGTACAAAAGCCACAGAAAGCTTAATGTGGAGTAGCTGTACTTTAAAGTCTTTAAGATAAGGATGTCATGGACTTTGTGTGCTGATGAGTCAGACTCTGACGGCTCTAAATGGAGCTCCTGAAATTCATGCCATGGCAATTTTTTACTTACTCAAAGCTTCACCGTGGTAAAGGCAAATGCTTTTTGTGCTAGCGCTAACTTGACTCGAAGGCCGACTAGTACAGCTGTCGGACAATTGTACTGCCAAAAGTTTCGGGATGAAATAAAAAGCTCTTGGTAGAGCATCCTCTGCATACCAGCGACAAAAAATACAGTCCTTAAGTAAATATTTAAAGAAGATCCTTTTTGATCCGATACCAGAACATACAGGTTAACTCCGAAGTTCGGACGAAGGGACGTGATTCCATCTGACCCGCAAAGATGGCGGACCGCATCTGGATGCTTATGGCTCTCGTTAGCCTGGCTTCAATTATAACAGCTGCTGAGAACGTCAACTACACGTTTGGTCAGACCATGGTAAGCGAGGTGAAAAGTGGCTTAGTTGTTGCTCCATAGGTAAATGCCATTTTCTGTTACAAAGAATGAAAGAGAGAAATGGACTGAGAGGCCCGAAGAAGACGGGCCTAACGAACGGAGAAAGAGACACCGCAACTGAACTAACGCGAGGCTGCGCCAGAAACGGGCGGGCGGGCGGGCGCGCGCTGAACAACAAAAACAAGATAAGCTAACCAGCTTAATGCGCGCAATAAATGACGGCCCTGAGGACACGGGCCGTTGCGAAACAGTTAGTCTAACAGTTACGCATTGGGCCTTACGCCCAACTAACCCAGCTTACTTACGCAAGCTCGCATTAGTTGTTGCTCCATAGGTAAATGCCAAAGGAGAAGATACCCCCTCTAGCGGAAATAACAAACAAACTGAGCACCAAAACAGCGCAACGCGACGGGCCGCTAGAGGGACAAAGGACGCGAGAGCTGCCAGACAGGCACACACAGCGACACGAAATAAAGCTCCCCAAGCAAAACGCCTCAACGACCTCCAAACGATACTCCAGCAGCAAGGACGGCGGACACGCCATCTCTACACAGGCAAAAGAGCAAACAAACAGAACGCTGCCAAAACCACAAGGACGAGGTCAAACCAGCGCTCTCCAACCGCGCACAGACTGACCCACCGGCCACAAACGCGACGGATCCCTCAACAAACGCTGACGGACGCCCACTGAAGGAATGGACGATAGACACGCGAGAAT